CAACGTCTTGGCATCCTAACATTACATAGAAAAAAATCAATCCAAAGTACCATGCAACGAATGTAAAGCTACTAACACTAAATCACCATACCTCCCAAATAAGCTTTTCATTACAAACCCTAAGCAAATTTGAATCCCAACAAACACAAAATTTAACTCAATGATTATAAATCAGAACATATACAACAACAACCATACATTTGGGTCATTCAATCATTTGAACCACTATACATTGCACGAATGACATGAACATGAACCAAACCTATAATGCCAAGTTAAAAAAAACACAAACAACTGAATCTAAATGGATGAAATGAAAGAGGGGAAAGAGGAGTATCTTGGCAAAAAGTCAAAACCCTCGATCTGGCCTCCCAAGAGCTGGATTTAGGATTTAGGGCTCGTGGGAAGAGAGAGGGAGTGGGAAATGGCCATATGTTGGTTCTGAATGGAGGGAGGAGGAAGAAGGGGGCCACGGCGCGGCCTCAACTGACCGAACCTCGGCGTTGAGTCGGGCCGCGTCGAGGTTAGCGTCTCGGCGTCATCTGATCGCACGCCGACCTCTTGGCCCACGAAGTGTTGTTGGGCCGCCTGGGCCGCGCGCCAGATGGTGCCAAGAGCTCGGCGTGACTCCCCACAGCGCCGAATTTAGGCCTGTGGCGTTGGCTGACACGACGCCGACGTACTGGGCCCCATGCGTCAGCCTCGGAGTCGTCGGTGACGTGGCAAGGACTCAGCGTCGTGTCAGTCGACGCCGACCTTCATACCTCGGCGTGATTTCTTAAGACGCTTAAAAATAGTATATTTGTAGCAAAAAGTTTTGGCAGAGGTCTTTTTTGTAAAAAATGTTTTAAAAAGGGACCAAAATGCAAAAATTCACGCTCAGAAATTGTCGCCGGGACTGGAGGCCACCTCACCCGCCCTGCCACCTGTCACCCGCGACCTCACTCCTCCCGGCTCAGATCCTGACCTTGCAACCGCTGGCAATACATTATTCCGGCCGTCCGATGGGCGCCACTGCCGAACGAACACGTACAGCGCCGGCGACATCGTCCTCGCCGGTTTTCAGTTACGGGCAGCGTATTCTTTGCGGCCTTGCGCAGCTCGTGTGCGTGCCGTCCCCATCCGTGGACTCCGAGGCTAAGTTTTATGGTCGTCGCCGGCGTCATCAGATGGGAACATGCATGACAGAACTGCTCTCCTACTATTACTACTACTACTATCAGTCACCGTGACAAAAATTCCATCTCTCTACGTTCTTCAAATTCTTCAAGCATTTTTTTTTGTTTTTGTTTTTGTATTTGGTGGAGATTCACATATGACAAATCAAGTGCCTTACTCCCACCGTCCCATTGGGACTGTCTTTTTTTATTTTAGACTTCATATTTGACCGTTTGTCTTATTCAAAAATTTTATGTAAATAATAAAATAAATAAATCATTATTAAAGTATCTCTAATGATAAAATAAGTCATAACAAAATAAATATTATTTGCATAAATTTTTTGAATAAAACGAATGGTTAAACAAGAAGTCTAAAAATAAAAAACGACATTTTCAGTGGAACATCGGTTAGATGGACCTATATTATTATATATATGATGGGTGTGAACTCTGCAGACGGACTCGTTGTCGTTGGTAATTAATTGGTATAGATATATAATGAGCATGCATCACATGGTACATAACCACACTGTCGCTGGATGGAGCCCGGTATTAACTGGGTCATTTTAGACCAGCTGGCTTTCTCTCCCTATCATATGCTACACTGGTTAGCAAGTCAGAAACCTCGTCGTGCATACCCTCTTATCTCTCTTTCTGAACGAACATGTCGTACCGTCTTGATTGAATCATTGATTGCATAAACTATTTTCGAAGTCAAGTCTTCTACCGGACGATAATGGTCTCTGCATCAAGGTACACCCCTATGGGATAATAATATAAGTCACGCTAGCATTGTGATCGCCTTTTTCTTCTTCTTTTTATTTACGATTACAAGGTGACATAAGCATGCACGCGTCATTACACCTACGCTCGTGTACCACATTCACACGTCCAGACTCCAGAGGGTGTCCATGTCATGTGCCTACAACTAATGTACGTTGAGATTAAAGCACTTGTATGTGTGCACATCGTAAGCGCTATACTGAAGTAACCGAGGGCCTGTTTAGATTTTATTGTCTAAATTTTAGTCCTTCATTTTTTTTTGCCTACTTTTAGTCTTTAGGGATCCAAACAGGTAGGCTAAAAAGGGAGGGAAAAAGTCCACATTACCTTTCACAACTTTTACGAAAGTCTGTTTTTTCCTCCCTGAACTCTAAAACCGGATAACCACCTCCCTAAACTTTTAAAACCGTTCGTTTTACCTCCCTGACTGGTTATAAGCGGTTTTCAAATACGGTTTTGTCTTTTTCTTTTTTATTTATTTCGGTTGAATCTTTGAAAAATCATAATAAATTATAGAAAAATAAAAAAATAGAAAATCCAATTCTTTTGGACTCCACGTGAGTAGATCTACACAGCGAACATATAATATGATATGATTTAGTACATATTTTTTGCTATAACTTTATATTTATACTTTTCTGTAATTAATTCATAGCTGCAGTTTCTATGGTCCAATTGTGGTGAAATTTTTATGTTAGGCTAATTATTATATGCTTGAACTTTAGTAAAAATTTTATACTCTTTGTTTCAAGGGCTCTTGCGCTTACTGCACAGACAAATCTGCACATTTGTGTTGAATTTATTGATTGGTTTGCCAACCTGCAAGAAAAGGGCAAATTCTTACATGTAGCAACAATAATCACTATGAACATGATTGACTGTGTATGATCATGCAAGATTGATTGTTCTTGTTCTTGCATTCCTGGGACGAGGTACATGGCACCGTACCATGTTCCCAGTGACACTGGTTGACCTGCAACTGTTCGCATGGGGCTTGAGCCACATGCAGTCAGGTTTTCATGCAAGCATCTGGAAGAATATCCATGAAAGAACTATGCTTTTGCCTTTTTTTTCCTTCCAAAAAACTTCCGTTTCTTGCTGCAATGTCAGGTGCAATTTGGATTGATTGGAAACTAAAGCTCAGACATGTTGTTTGCAGGAACCTGCAAATGAGCTGTACAGGAAGTCTTTAGACTTGTCAATGAAGATGGGTTCTTTTCTGCTTTCTGTTCTGCAGTATTTTCCATGTCCTGAATCCTGAATGATGGTCAACTATGGAGCATCCATGCTACAGAGGCTAAATTAAGCTTATTTTCTTATTAATAGTGGATTTGAGATTCAAATAATCAGGAGTATTGTTTCAGCTTGTTAGTATTAGTTTTTACATTTTGTTACAACTTGCAATGCTAAAAATAGATTTGGACACATTTGTAGCCATCAATCTTTTTACATCATGTTTTTCTCTCTCGATCGGGTCTTTTACCCGTTTTTCATTAAGAGGAAAGGCCAAAAGAAAGGCTGGGACACGGATACGAAGGACTCACAAGTACGAAGGATTACCGGCGGAATCCCAAAGACACAAACGAACAGCAAGAATACGCGGGGGACCTCCACCACAAAACACCAACCAACTATACCTGACAAAGAAAGATACATCCGCGCAATGGTCGCCAACAGAGGGTGGGTGACGCCGTGGTGGCAAAGCATCCACCGATAAAAATCTCAGCATCCATCCGCAAAAAGACCAGGTAGCCGTTGCGAAGATGTGGGGGGTATAACCCCAGGTACCCACGGCAATGGACATGGGCCACACCGCTAGGGGAGGTTCAGCCCATAAGATCAAGGCCTACGATGCCCAGTTCTGGTCGGCGTGCATTGCAAGGCAATCAGAAGACATCTTGGCGATGAAGGAAGATCTTTTCGGATATGATAGATATCGTATTCCTTGTAAATACTTACCATATAAACAAATAGATCCAGGCCTAAACCGACTCGTAACCCTACCGCCCAAACTATATAAGGCGGGTAGGGACCCCCCTCAAATTCAGCTCATATTCAATACAATCCAACAAAGACACATGACGTAGGGTATTACATCGATCAGACGGCCCGAACCTGTCTAAATCATTGTCTTTGTACCTTGTGTCACCATCCGGCTCCTATTACGCGCACCTCCACCGATCATCTACTACCGTGGGTATACCCCTCGGTAGACTGCTGACTAGATTTCGTCGACAGTGGCGCGCCAGGTAGGGGATGTGTGTGCTGATTCCATGGCCAACCAGATGGTCACTTTCCCGAGCTCCATGGCATTTCCCGAGCCGAGCTAGATATTCACGGTCGGATCCATGACTTGGGTCATCGGCCTCGACGGCAGCGGGGAAATCATGGAGCCGGTGCAGGATCACCCTATGCCGATCGTGCCAACATCTACAACGACATCTTCGATCCCGATGCCTCGCCGCTAGGTTAGGAGATCCATCAACAATGACGATCTGATCGAAGCTATCGATCGGGTCACGGACCGCTTAGCGGAATGTCAGCTCCTTGTGGATTCGGTCTTAGATCGATCTAGAGCGAGCGACGAACCTCCTGCACTCCAAGGTCACCATGCCACTAATGCAGAGCGCCCCGCTCGTGCACGTCATCCAAGGTGGCAAGATGAAGATTTGGTGATCACGGCAACTCCGGAAGGGTGTACCGTTCAACGCCGACCACTCCCTGCCCCAACGGAGAGCATGACGAAGCCCTATTCTTTCGGGCTGGTAGGTGCGGGTCCGATCTGTTAGGACGCCTTGCACCATCTTTTCGCCGTCCACGCCGAGCGCAGCATACTTCATGTGTAAGCCTCTAAAAAAAATTCGGCCGAAATTCGTGAGTTTAGGTAATTTTGGGGGTGATTTTTTTTTCTAATACCGAAATTGAAAACCCTGAACAAAACACGCTCTGTTGATAAGAGTTGCGTTGATAAACTTTTTTTTTTAAAAAAAAACGTCGACGACAGCAGCTAATCGTCACATGGATGATTCTATTTGGCTCATCACATGCACAGGACAATCACTGCAGCAATCCTAGAGCACGCCTAACGAATGACGTGGCCAGTGACCACGGTTTGCTGGCCACGGCAGCGATCATGGTAACCGCGGTCGTCCTCTCCGAAGCAACAGCGTCGTCAACATTGTCTGTGAACCACGGGCACTGGAGCGCGGCGGCCGCCGTCAGCCGCTTCTCGGGATCACAAGTCAAGAGCCCTTTTAGGACATCGAATCCGTCCCCCGACAGGATCTCCTCCGAGACCAGCTCACGCAGCCGGTTGCGGCTGCTGCCGTGACGGTCTCGCAGCTGCCGCGCTCGCCACACCTGCACCTTGTCGTCATGTACCTGGGGCTTGAGGGCCTGCCACGCCCTCTTGCACGGCACGCCGAGCACGTCGAAGATCTTGAAGAGCTGCTTGGCCTCGTCGTCCTCGTCCTTCACTGCGACTGCGAACGGTGGCTTGCCGGTGAGGATCTCCACCATGACGCAGCCGAGCGACCACACGTCGGAGAGCGTGTCGTGGTCAGCGTTCTTCACCAGCACCTCCGGCGCCATGTACTCCATGGTTCCAGCGAAGGCCTGCGGCGGGTCCTTCTCGGCCACAGACTTGGCCACCCCGTAGTTGCAGATCTTGACGGCGCCGCCGCCGTCGCCCACGAGGATGTTGTCGGGCTTGATGTCTCGGTGGACGACGCCGTGCCGGTGCATCTCCTCGGCGCCGGCCAGCAGCTGCCGCATGACGCGGCGCGCCACGGCCTCCGGGAACGGCCGTCCGCCGCGGTCTGCCATGACGGCCCTGAGGCTCGGCCCGACGTAGTCCATGACGATGGAGTAGTCCGTGGTGCCCGGCGTGCGCGCGACGGTGCGGAACGCGACGAGCGACGGGTGGCCCCTGCCGGCCGCCGTGAAGCAGGCCTCGGACAGGACGTCGGCGGCGCAGCTCCCGCCGCTCCTGCGGTGGAGGGACTTGACGGCGACGGCCTGGCCCGTGGCGCGCCCTGAGGTCACCGAGCGGCGCGACCCGGGTGGCCACCGAGGTCATGTGCGTGGGGTTTGGGTTGGCCATGGAGCGAGCTAGCAACGGTCTCAGCTTGCGTGGCGGTTGACACGGCGATCGATCGAGGATGTTAGCATGTTCGGTTGGCTGGTTCGTTTCGTGGCTGGTTTACTGTTGACTGGTTTGTGTGAGCGAAAAATACTGTTCTAGCTGAAAATTTACGATCGTTTACGAAAGCCACAGCCAAACAAACAGTGTGCTAGATGAGAAGTTTGGTGATCACCGGAGGGAGACTCAGGGGGATTTATATGGAGGAGAGGAAAGGAACCGATTGGTGACCGGACTCGGAAATCCGCACGTAGTCTAGTCTTGCTCGTTCCGTCGGACTTGCAGATATGACATTGCCTGCCGATTGACTAATCTTACGATTCGGAAATAGAGCAGAGGTTTAGAGCTGATATTACGAAGCCGCCGTATTTCTAAGGGCTCATTCGTTTGGAAGGGAATCATTGCCTGGAATGAATCCTACCTGGATTGCTTTGCAAAATTATATAAGCATTGATCAATTGGAATAATTCCTGGTGCAATCCAGCAAAACCGAACGGGTCCTAAAGGTAATTCCATCGTAAAGATTTAACGCATGTTTGTTCTAAAGAAGATTTGGACCTCATGGTATATATATAAGCATAACTAGAAAGTAGCGTCCTTTTTCTCCGCACCGCCGCGCCGCCGCCACCGTCGTCTAGTTCCCTCTCTTTTCTTTTCTCTTATATCTACAACAAGTTCTTTAGATCTAATTTAGTAATTCGTTTGATAAATTTACCAACGAAATCAGATAATTTTTGGTTGAGATCTTATTACCTGAGATGATTTCGATGATTGTGACGACGAGATCACCGTTGTAGGCATCGATTTTCATTGGCAGACGATCAAGTTGTGGTCATTATCTGCAAGGGGAGTGATGCTCCTCGACACTCTCAACGAGTACATTTACTTTAGATCATTGATCTCATCGTTAATAGTTGCCGAGGGGATGTCAAGAATTGGAGGTGCTGAACGTGCAACCAATATTGTATCTATTGGTACAACCGCCGATGCGCAGTGTCAAATATAAACAGAAAAAATGTCAAAAAACAGCCATTTAAGAAAGCATATCAACTTATCATACAAAGAATCTTCTCTAAAAAGAACATCGCACTGATTTTGCTTGATCTTAGCTTTAGCGTAAAATTCACGAGTGGTTCCTAAACTTGAACAACGGTGTCATATAGAACTCTAACCCTTAAAATTTAATATTGTAGTCCTCGAACTTATACGATGGTGTTACTCATGTCCTTAACTCTTAATTTTTTATATCGAGATCCTAAACTAGTACAACGATGTTATCTAGGTCTCCAAACTTGACATCCATCCATATATGACACTGATATGGTATACTAATTGTGTGTGATGTATAAGTTTCGGGCTAGATTATACCCTTGTACAAAAATTTAGGAGCCAAACATAAAAAACCAAGAGTTGAGGACACAAGCGACACTGTTGTAAGAGAAAATTCCTTGCTTAGCATTAGAAAAATGATACAATTCCTTATTTAGCAATGAAAAATAAAAATTCTCCAATACATGACTGACTCTATTTTTGGTTCCCTAAATAGCATAGTCATTAGATCTAACCTCTATCACTGTTAACTTGGAGGGAAAAGACTGTTGTACCCTTGTTTTCCATGTATAGTACATTGTCCAAAAAATTGTGTCATAGTTCATAAATTATCTGCAAAACAAATGTTCAATGTAAAAATATTATATATTGTAAAAATATATTCAATGTAAAAAAATGGCATGTTTAAAAAATCTGTTAAGAAAATCACTTTAACGTAACGTTGGTGTCACACCAGAAAATAATAAGGGCAAAACAGTATTTTCTCCACCAAATTGACGGCGTTAGAGGTCACATCTAACGGTGTTGCTACTTTTTGGAGAACAAAAAAAAAACTAGTGTTTTATTGGGAACTTTTATGTTTCAACGTTAAATAAGGAATTTTGTTAGATGACACATCCATGTAAGTTAGGATCTGATGAATTTTGCACCCAATTTATGTTTGTGGAGAGGCATCCCCTCCCCGTGCTCGTGTCCACAAAACCCTCCTCGTGTCGCCAAAGGTGCTGGTACGGACTGATTTACTGCTCTCCTCAATGCGCTAGACCATTTTGTTAATCATTACTGTACCAACGTTGTTCAGCATACTTGGTACTTGCTACGGATGACACGAGCAACAATCACTTCTTCTCGCATTTTTTAGATTTTTCTTTAAGATTTCACTAGTGGTTTTTGCTCTTGTTCTGATCTTTCTTACTATTGTCCCTGTTATTGTTTCCAGGCCGATCAAACCCATGTCTGGCCAATGCCACACCTCCTCCAGGTTCTCCAGGGGAGCAGACAACCTCCAATGCCAAGACAACGTCCAATGGCACACCTTCCCCAGGAGACCAGACAAAGTTCAATGCCACACCTTCTCCACGGGAGCAGACATCCTTCAAGTGGGTCATTGATGGTTTCTCCTCGCTTCTTGACAAGGATCAAGGATGGACATACTCCACCGTATTTGAGATCACGGACCTAAAATGATATGGTTAGATGTTGCCCTTTTTGTCTCTTTGGTTAAAATTGCATTGTTCTTACTTCTTACAGCCAGAACTATTCAATGTTTACTTGGTTCATATATATCATGCCTGAAAAACTTAATGACTTCAGAAGTCTAGCCAATAATGAAATGCCTTCTTTGTACATCTTCCCCAACATGTAAAGGGTTTTCATAGGTTTATGTAAGAACTTTTAAACTAGAAAACATGGCCAGCAAGTCATTCATCTCATGAACAGGCTCTGTTTTGGCTCATTTGCAGGTATCTAAAACTGAATCCAAAGTACAAAACGATCAATGATGAGGAGGAGTGTCTCTCTCAAGCTTCAACTGGCGCAGACACTGTCGTTGAGGCATCTTTCAAGTTCATGATATATGATCAATCCAACGGAAAGCATAGGGAGCAGCTAGGTAAAGTAGCAAATTACTCACACTGAGAATTGATTATATCTGATGGAAATAACTGATGCATTACGCACATTGACTCAAAATCTTCCTAGTTACGTTGTCAGATATAACTTGTAAACTTTTAATGTTTTTTCAGAGAATTGATTATAGTTTTATACTCATCTGCCCAAATGGTCATTTGAAACTGCCAGCTATAACTTACGATCTTTAATGCTTGTTTGTTTTTATAAAACCCTCTATTTGGTTTCATGTCTCCATTTAGTTTTACTCTGGAAACAATGTTTTTTCATTCCGTCTTAAGCCATATCTTGTGGTGGTAATTAAGTACCTTTCTATGAAGAAAATATGTATGCTTGGAATATTTTTTATTCTGTAGTTAACCACAGCTTCCAGACTGCAAGTACGACCTCTGGCATCTCGTGCATGTTACCCCTGAAAACACTAGACGAACAGTCCTCTGGATTTCTTGTCGACAACCGCTGCGTATTTGGTATTGAGTTCATCAAAGTTGCCACCATCAAAGCCAACACGATGTTAGAAAGACTTTTTTGTCAGGAAGACGAACGTCTTCAATGAGGCCAAAGTTTACACTTGGAAAATTGAGGATTTCTTTGCTCTGAAGAACAAATCCTACTCAACGGAGTTCGAAATCGGTGGATACACATGGTGATAATCTCTTCAGTTTGCAATACTTGACATGTATACATGACTGATGTTGATAACATAATCTGAACTTTCTTAAAATGCTAAGAATGGTTCTATACCACAGAAGTTTTGAAAATTTACGTAAACACAAATATAATAGTTTTACACATTATTAACTTGATTATGGGATGCTGTCAAATTTGCAGGTTCGCATTTTAGCAGAAATTTGCTTTATGGACTGGTTAGTCCGGATGCCAAATTATCATCACATATTCTTAACTTATTTTTGTTGTGAAATACAGGCAGTGCCCAGTTCTCAAGCAATTGCGGTTGGGCTGGACTACTGTAGCTATAGCGTTGAATTGGGCTGGGCTGAGTGTGCAACCAAAAGTTTAGTACCATACCGTGGATTCTGAGTTCGCCGAACCAGCTTAAATAGCTAAGCCAAGATCGCGTAGTAACCTTCGGTTAATCGTTTTGCGCAAAGCGAGGACCGTGTACTGGGCCTGGGGTGTTACACTGGGGATGGGATAAGTTCATCATCAAAAGGTTATCTCATCAAAGGCAAGTGTTGCATTGAGGCTGAAGTCGCAATCATTGGCTCTTCCAACACAGAGTACTCTCAGTAATTTGTGAGACCTCATGATTAGTGTTTATCCTCGCTAGAACCAGCTATATTTTACGTTCCCTGTCACCATGGCATTGAGACTCTCTATTGCTTGGAACTAAAGATATCTAAACGTTTCAGCTCTTCAGGCTTCGTTCTATCGAAGACACACCAAATATACGTGCTTTGACTATTTTGAATGTGATCTAAGTTGCTAATATATGCAAACTGAGATCTTTCTTATTATTTTAGGTTATATTCTGGTAATCTTTCTTGATTGCACAACCATGCAACGAATGATTTTGCAGTTCTTTTTTTCTTTTCTTTTTTATGTTTTTCTATCGGGACGTATCAGTCATGCTCTTCTTGTGAACAATACGATCAGCCGTGCCGGTGCATCACCTCGGCGCCGGCCAGCAGCTGCCGCATGATGCGTCCCGCCTCGGCCTCCGGGTACGGCCGTTCCCCGCGGTCTGCCATGCGGAACGCGACGAGCGAGGGGTGGCCCCCGCCGGCCGCCACGAAGCAGGTCTCGCGCAGGACGTCGGCGGCCCAGCTCCTGCGGTGCAGGGACTTGACGGCGACGGCCTGGCCCGTGGCGCGGTGCCGTGCCGTGACGACGATGCCGCACTCACCCTGGCCGAGCGCCCGAGCCTGCGCCCGTCCTATTTGTATCAGCGGGCGTTGGCCATGTGCCGCTTCCGCCCGCAGGCCCTGGGCCTACTCTCAGGCGGCGGCGGCGGCGGCGACGACGACGTCGTCGACCATCGCGGAGATGGCAGCGGCTCGCCAGGCGCTGATCGCCGTGCCGGTGCGGCGGTGTTCTTGGATCACGTCGCAGAGCGCCGCGACCCGCATGTAGTCTAGTCTTGCTCGTTCCGTCGGACTTGCACATGACATTGCAGCTGCTGCCTGCCGATTTACTAATCTTCCGAGTCGAAAATAGAGCTGATAGTACGTTGCCATATTTCTGAAGGTAATTCCATCGTAAAGATTTAACGCGTGTTTGTTCTGTACTAGTGGACATGCACGTGGATAAAAGTCAATAGCCAATCATTGAGATTTGATAAAGGAGTTTTAACAATAAATTTTCAAGGATATTTCTATAATGCATGATGATACAATTACATATACAACCACAATTTATCATGATATGGTTCGTTTTATTATTGATTAATACCAATTAATGCCACTCAAGTAAGCTTAAATATATTAATAAAAGTTTATCACAAAAGTTACATATGACAAATCAATACCCCAAGGGACATATATTACTTTGTTCTGTCTTTTCGTTAGGGGTTTTGCATAATGATCACTCTGAAATGGTTTGCTTCTAAAGTTTTCGAAGAACTATCCCCTAAATATCCCCACTGCTACATCATAATTCTATCAATTTACTCAAGAGTCAGCTGAAGCTTATCCAGACAGACCACACAGCAAACAAACATCAGCTTTTCCTATCAAAAAGCTATGATGCCCATTTCAGTTACCAGAGAATCAAAATAACTGATATATATTTCATTATTCCTTTTTATTTTAAGGGCAGCTTAGAACTATATAGGTACATTTCTGATAAAGAAAACAAGTTCACAGTATAGTATAGAGTATTCATCTGCTTCTATGCCTGGTAAATTATTTGCTGTAATAATCGTGGTGGTGTGACAAAGAACAAAAGAAGGCATCGGCGGTTTACCTCTTGATCTGGTGACACAAGAACTTTCCTGGTCAGGATGTTTTCACCTTTCTAATGAAGTAGCTATCACTTCTTGCTTTCTCTACAAAATAAACACCAAGACAAATAAAAATACAAAATCTAAGAAATTAGAACAAATAATTCAGTCTGACATAATCTAATTAAATTATATAGATTATTAAATGTAGGAAATAAAGCACCTAAGATAGACCACATAAGTATTGTGACACTATAAATGGCTACATCACAGACCTTGAATGGCTCACAACAAAGAAATTCCGGTGTCATCCATTCTGGCTACAGGGCAAGATCACTCTAGTGGCAAGAAACCAATGAGTAGAGCAAGGGATTTGGATCATGCTATGCTATCTGGGAGATGGAATAACCTTCATGTTATGCATACCAGTCAAGCCAAGAGGATGGAAATCCCGGAGAACAAGGTGGTTCTCTGTTCCATCACCATCAGTAACCAACTTGTAGCCCTTACCCATCAAATGGTTACCAAGGGCAACTGCGTTTGCCTTGACCTGCTGGATATAGGCCTTGAATACAGGTGACATGGCTTGTTTCAAGGCTACAGCTAGAGCAGCAATCTGGTGATTGTGAGGCTCCCCCTGGAGCGATGAGAACACAGCCAAGTTGATATTGTCCCCATAGTCATACAGGGCACCCTCAGGCTGACCCTTTTTCGGAGGCTTTGAGCGCTTCCTGTTGGTCCTCAAAGACTCCTGTTGGTCGTAGTGCCACATTGGAGTGCACAGAAGGATTCAAAGCCTTCTATAGAAGAGTGAAGAAACTAACATGGATGAAAAAAAATAAAAGATACAAAATATGGGAGTTCTGCAGGAACTGTGGAAATTAGAAAGCTTAATTTGTAAATTTCAAATTTCTGCATTCATAACTACCGTGGCCAAATAATAGCATCATGTCAACATGCATTTGGTGTTCCATTTGTATGTTCATATAATAGAAAAGGGCTCCTCAAGTTCATAGTTCATGACAATGAACTCTATGAAATTTTACTCCCTAACTCAGCTAGGCAGTCTTGTAGGACAAATTTATAACCGTCACAATAGAATTTTAGATACCTTTCAGGTTTATTTTGGCACGTGAAGTTTGAGTTGCTTTAGACCGTTACAATTTAGTTTCTTTAGTCGCCACACTAACACGACCAAAGAAATACTTGGACAGGTATTGCAAGTTCAGGGCAGTTTACATACCTTGGTCTTGGCCTTGGGAAGTTCAGAATTGGGGTTGGGCGGTGCAATGCCGCTGCCATATGTTGTGATTTGGCCACTCCGCCTCAGCGGCAACGGGAAGAGATGACAGAGGTGCCGGTGCCCAGCCCCATTGACTTGCAGCTGCAGCACGCAAATCGGAAGAGAGCAATTAGATTTTGGTAGGCAAAAGGAGGACCGGCAGATCAAGAGGGATCAGGAACACGACATGATCCAAAAGCGGATGGTGATGGAGGGCACCAGAGATCCGTACCTTGTCAACTTCGGCGGCTGCGACGACGTGACCTCGTCACTGCTGTACCCGCCGTCGCGTCCTCCGTGGGCGCCGGTGATGCCGGCGCGCCCTTCTCCTCTTCCTCCCCAGCCCGGTGTCTCGGAACTCGGAAGAGTCAAGAATTGGACTATTGGAGAGGTGAGAAGGATGGGAATCGAAGGCGTAGTTGAGATGTTGATGTGCTGCCGTGGGTACAGGAGCGGGTAAGAAAAATTTTCGGTGAATAAAATTCTTCGATGGACGGTGTCGAGCGTGGCAGGAACGCTTAAGATAATCTTACGGACTACAGTAAGATTAATTTACACAATTAGATTTAAAGACCTAGTCATCCGATGGCTCTCATGTAAGGTGGGTAAGAAAATTTTAGGTGAAAAGGTATTTTCAATTCTTTCGCTACCGGACTACAGTAAGATTAATTTACACCATTAGATTTAAAGCCGAGTCATCCGATGGCTCTCATGTAAGGTGGGTAAGAAAATTTTAGGTGAAAAGGTATTTTCAATTCTTTTGCTCTTTTATAGTAATAATATAGATATAGATATAGATAGATAGATAGATATAGTGTATAGATAAAGATAAAAGATTTGGAACTCGGTAACTACATAGTACCGTCCTGTCATCCTCCTCCTCGTCATTGTCATCTAGGGTCTCTTTCTTTCTTCCTCCTCGGTGAGTTTATTAGTGACAAAGAGAGGAAACCTATCTCTGTCTCCAACCATTCTTTAAATCTAATTCTTTAGTTTTAACTAAGATTAATCTGCCAACAAAATTAGATGATTTTTGGTCAAAATCTTGTTACCTGTGATGATTTTAGTGATTGTCACGACGAAGTCGTTGTTGCAGGCGTCGATTTAATCAGCAAGCGACCTCTTGAACACTCCCAACGAGAGCAACTCCATGTCATCGATCTCATCATCGATGATCACAAATAGAAAATCAAGAATTGAAAGGTGATTTATGTACAACTTATGTTGCATCTGACAGTACAAATGTCGATGCATAGCATCAAATAAGCCATTAATAATAAACTTGCTATCACATAGAGAAAAAAACTTCTCAAAGCCAACTATGTAGGAAAGCATATCAAAGGTTTCATACAAAGAATTTTCTCAAAAAAGACTATCACACCTGATTTTGTTTGACCCTGGATCTCTAACCCTCAAATTTTAATACTTGAATCCCCAAACTTATACCACGGTGTCACTTGAGTCTTCAACTCTTAGATTTCGATTTCTGAGATCCTAAACTTGTACAACCGTGTTGTCTAGGTTCCAAACTTTCACGTCATAGATGACGCTGATGTGGTTATTAATTACGCGGGACATGCAAGTCCTGAAACTTAGATTAGTAGATTATATCATTATATCATTGTACAATTGTACAAGAATTTAGGTTCCAAACGTTAAAATTTAAGAGTTAAGGACAGAGTGACACTGCCGTATATATAGGACGTAAATATCAAAATTCTAATCTATATAATCTATTTTAATATATAATAATAATGAGGCAAAATTTCAGCCAATTTTTTTCATCCACCCATTTTTTTTCCGTCTCCGACAATGTAGAGTTTCTTCCGTCCAAACTTATATATATAACATGTGCTCATACGAGTTAGAATAGCTCGCATCTAAACCGATATGGAGTCCGATTCTAAAATTATTGGGTTCTGTTGTAAGACACAGACACGTCTATCTATATACCTATAATATATATAATCTATGCCTAATATTAAAGAGACAAAATTTTTCTCCACCTTTTTTTATCTGGCCCTCCCCTAACTAATTCTGAATGTGGAAACTATCTTGTCTGGCGGAACTTCTTGAGATAATCTGAATAGGAATTCTAATCAAATAGACTATTTGATATTATCTAACATGCAAGGCTTTTTGTCCTGAAAAAGAATCCAAATCTAAATAGAAAAGGATAAAAATACAAATTGGGCAAATAGTCCTGCGTAGCTTGAATAGGAATCCAAATGTAAATAGAAAAGGATAAAAATAGAAATTAGACAAATATAAATTAAACGAAGCCAAACTTTTTTTTTATCATACCTCCACCATGCATGATCCCGCGTTCGTCTTCAGTTTTATTTGCTTTAAAGAAAACGTGCACATGAAAACTACTCGGTTTCACTCTAATCTACAACTGACGCGAGTTCGTAGAGTCGTCCTAGACAACAGGTTAATCCAAACAAACTCAACGTAAAACTTATATATGGGTTAAATTAAATTTTTGGCATGTCCATCTGACTACATCCATTTAGAACAGTTGACCATGTTTCGATGTATCCAAAAATAAATTAATCTACGTTTATATATTTATATATCATTTATAAAGCATAGACCATTTTATATTGGTATGCCACTTTCTCACATGTTTGTACAAGTTAGATCAGCACATCTAACTAGCTAAACATGATGCGGTGTGAAGTATACAATCTAAAATGAATATGAAGATATAATGTAACCGTTAGATAATAATTCTTTAAATCTCTCGTGCTCATGTAAGTTAGAGTGGCTAACCTACACCGAGTTTCAAGATGAATCCTAACTCATGATGTGGTTATTAATGGTTCTCTAAACTGAAGTCGTCCAAATGACCATGTAATAATTTGTACACCCCATTGCAACACACGGGCACGTTTGCTAGTAAGAGCAACTCC